TGTACAGTTTAAAAGAACTGTTTTCCATTTTAAAATATATTTTATTCCTGTGATGGCGAAGCTGAATTTTCAGCAGCTATTACTCCAGTATATTTAGTATCACGTGATCCTTGAAAAGTCATTTTAATATCATGATTTGCTGCTCAAGAAACAATTCTTATTATTATCAATGTTGAAAACAGCTGTGCTGTTTAATATTTTTGTGGAAACCATGACACATTTTTTGGGGGATTCTTTATTGAATAGAAGTATACACCTCTGTTGAATGAAAGTATTAAGTCTTTCTTTAAAAAAAACACTAACCGTATGAACGCTAGTGGGTAAGGTTATAACCATTTGCAGTCTCCTCTATACAGCATTCAATCAACAAAATGGGATCATAAAAAAAACACATTGGGAAGCTTTCAGTGGCAGTAATATCTCAAATACCTAACCCCTAAACATATATTTAATTATTTAAAAAAAAAAAAAGTTAACATCATTATGATGTTTTCAGATGTCTACAAACTGCATAAGAGTTTCAAGGCCATTATGTACTTAAAGTAAAATACATCAAGCTGCTTTCTTAGAAATGGTATATGTTTATAAATAAAATGTATTGGACAAAGCCATGTTACACCATTACGAGAATAAGGGAAAGACAGAGGAAGAGAGTATAATGGGCGACTCTTGTGCCTCTGTTCTTTACCCTCCTGATCACCGTGATCATCATCATGTGAACTCCATTGATCCAACCTGCAACAATCAGTTCAGTGGTTTCGAGTGATTTCCAGTGATAGATCCTCCACCTTCACAGTGCTAAAGTCACTTCTACGATTCATGTTAACCTTGGTTGCATTACCATTAACCTCAGAAGGATGAGACTGTGAATACAGACAGTCACACATCATCCAACCAATTCCATCTACGACATTCCCTTTAATGCCACTAATTTAATGTCCAATACAGTTTTTCACTGTATATAGTAGGGGAATTTACCGTTAACCATTTAACAGGATTTTACTGTAGCATTTTTACAGTCTTTTACCGTTAAATTCACGGTCATTTTTTACAGTGTATGGTTTAGCATCATTATTCAAAATATTTCACAGATCAGAAAAAGTACTGTGTAATTTAGTATATGATCACTTTTGCACAATAATATTTTAACAATAATGATGGAATTTTGTGTAATATGTGTATGTCATTTAATTTGACAAACATTTAAGGTATTTTGTGGTGGAAACATGGTCATAAGGAACTTTGTGAGGGAAATAGACAAATACCATTTGTATTTTCATTTCCACTGTTGCTGTTCACTTCTATTTCATTGTCTTTATTGGCATTTGTTGCATGTGGACCTGAAAAAAAAAATAGTTTCATCGAAACCAGTGTTGTCGTGCAATATGTATGTCAAATGATTTTGATATACTGGACCTGTATCAGAGCACACTGGCTCAACGTTTTTTGCTGACTTCTTGCTTATCTTGTTGCTGACTGTGCATGAGAAATTATCTCCAGATTTGAGCTCAGATGAACTGACGTGTAAAACAGCATGTGTCACATTAGCCTTCATGCCATTTTTCATCCAGGACACAACCACCTCATCGTTGTTCACTGCACTACAAGTCAGATTTACTCCTTTTTCTACACACTCAACCATGACTGTAGGTTCAGGCACTGGCTCTGAAACGCACACAACAACAGCAAGTCTTATTGGAGAAACACACATGGTCTTGCATGACTTTGTGGAGCAAATAGAGAGTAGAGAAATTAGATTTGTTTCACTCTCAGAAATAAAGGTACAACAGCTGTCACTGGGGCGGTACCTTTTCAAAAGGTACACTTTTGTAACTATTAGGTTCTAATATGTACACTTTAAGTACCAATATGTACCTTTAAAGTACCAAAATGGACCCTTTAGGTTCAAATAAGTACCTTTTGAAAAGGTACCACCCCAGTGACAACTGCTGTACCTTTATTTCTGAGAGTGTTTGAATAGCAGCAGAACACAAGCTAGTACGTACCCAGAACACAGAGCTGTTGTATGGTTTCCTTTATTAAGTTTCCTTCTGCATCATAGATGATGCCCTTGTACTCTCCAGATTTGTCTTTCTGTACGGTCTCCAGTATCAGGGATCCATCTTCACTAACGTTGAGCTTGTTGAGCTTAATTTGTGAGCCTTTTTTCAAATAAACTCTCTGTTTATTATGTGTCCATCTCAGTTCATTGTCCTCTTGTAATTTTGCATCATCAAATGAAATTACAACTTTATCACCTGCAGCTTTGTAGATACATGAAGAGACAAATGTACCTAAAAAATAAAGTGGAATAAAAAGTTCAGCAAAAAGTGGACCCAAAGTATCAGTAATACAGTTCAAAAATGTTACCGTGTGTTGCGTTTCAAGCACACAGTACCCTTGACCTGTATGTATTGCTGACATGAGATTTAACACATTCGTGGGAAAAAGACTGATATGTTTAAACCGTTTTACCCAAAGTAATCAATCTCACATGAGAAACATATAACTAAATTATTCATATGAAATTATATTAAATGTGAATGAATATTACATGCAAGCAAACAAAACTGTTTTAAAACAATCTACTATCTGTATCTAAAATGCAGAAAAGAGGGTTCTGTTTCTGTCCCACAACTCTGAGGAATGATAAATTAAACTAAAATTCGATCTAAAGGCAAAAACCATGCAGGAGCATTTTTATTTGGTGTACTTATAACTCACTAAGAGGAAAATGTGCCTGTAATCACACAAGTGGCATTCCAGAAAACATATAGGCTATATAACTTAACAACAACTTACCGGGGGGGAACATGACGATTAAACTGAAGAGAATTAATGTCAAGTTTAGCAGCATTTTCACTCGGGTCTCTGAGTTGCTCTGTATGTGCATCTCTGGGAGTGTGTGGGGGGTGAAAGAACACGATTTCACCAAGTAAAACATGTTCCTGAATCAACATCCTTGTTGATCCTGGAACAACATTTCATCCAACCAATAAAATCTGAAATATTTGAGAGGTTTACATGTCAAATGTAGGCTTACAACAAGGGTAAGGGGCTTCTACACCATTTTTATTCACCATTTTTCATTCATATAAATATATATATATATATATATATAT